CCCCAAAACCCCAAAACCCCAAAACCCCTTTATAGAGACTCGGTGTTGAATATAGAAATAATAAATTTGATAATCAATTTTATTGTAAATATGTCCAAACTTGCTAATAGAGGGAGTACGTGGTTTTTGTCTTCTGATGAACTCAAGGCTATCAAGAATAGTCTTGAGTTGCAAGTTGGGTATAAGGATATTCAAATTAGTGGTAAAAAATAAGGTACTCGGACTAGTTGAAGAAATTTATCAGGATTTAAAAGTCAAAGGCAAAGTGGATATGATTAAGCTAGAAATCAAAAAGGAATCCTGAGAGGAAGAACTTAAAAAATATAAAAAATTCTTGATAAAAGAGAAGAAAAAGAGAAAAGAATTAAAAAGAGAAAAACAGAGCATAAAAGAAGAAATAAGACAAACTAATTCAAAATTGAGTACTTTACTATCAAAGAGCAAAGAATTAGAAATTAAGAGGAACCGGCGACTACTCAAACTCTCCACAATGATTACACAAAAAATCAAGAGCAGATCAAACTTCAGTGATCTCTCCAGAGACATCGAAAAATTCTCTATAAGAGAGAGCGTTACTCCTAAGGAAGGCTATCTGAACAAAATTTCTATGACAAAGAGGCAGTCTTCCATGATCTAATAAATTGTGCAAGTTGTTGGACTAATGAATAATTTATAAAATTTTAAGTTCCAAAAGTTATAATTTCAGGTATTGGTGGCAAATAGATTTGTCACCGGCTTTTATAAAGCTGGCTAGGCCAACTCGTTAAAATGGGTTGGTGCTACTTTAATTATATTGAAATCTTTCTCTCTGGCATGGTTCAACCTGGCCTTCCCCTGGTACACATTCTGGAGGAAATCGAGTACTTTGATTATATTTGATTTCGGAAATATTATAAAAGTTACAGATTTTAATGGCAACATTTTACGTATGGCTTCTTCGAAAAATTTAGTGATATTAAAACACCTCCTCAAATCAAGTCTCTATCACCCCTTATCTCCCTTCCAACCCCCATTCTCACCCTATCACCTTCCTCCCAATCCTTCCAAAATCCCCCAAACCCCCTTTATCCAACTCCACTTTTCCTCCCAACCCCCAATCCTCCAACCCCTTATTTCCCAGTCCTTGACCCCAAAACCTGACCCAATTTCTACTTTACCTCTCTCTCCTACCCCAGCCAGTCGAGTGCCTCTGCCCGGATACCTTCTTGGGTCGTTCCAAGTATGGAATGTGGTAAGGTGTATGTGCCAAATTTGGATTGAAAGAAGAGATAATGGGTGAGGGAGTCCGCCAAGTGGGGTTGAGTGTTGAGATTGGATGGGGAAAGGGAAGGGGTTTAGTGGGTGTGGGGATTTTGGAATATGAGGGAATAGGAGTTAGGTTTTGGGTGTGGAGAGGTTTGAGGGAATTGGAGTTTTGGAATTAGGTTTTCAATGTTGGGGATTAGTTGGGGTTTTGGGGTTTTGGGGTTTTGGGG